GCACACCCGCCGCGTCCTGACAAGCCTGTGGCCTGGGCCATTCGGACGGCTCCCGCCCACCTGGCGACACGTGGGTGCGGCCTGGTGCTCTGCTGGGTCCCGTGGCCACCCCACCCTGGCTGCCTCTGCCCTCTCAGCCCCCTGGGCACCCAGACAACTCAATTGCTTTCCCAATGCGCATCCTGGAAATTAGTCATGATGAATGGGCTTAATTTCCCCACATGGACATGACACCGATGGCAGCGGGCCACCCGCCCAGGGCGCAATCCCTTCCATCAGGGCTCTGGTCACATGACCGAGCTCTGCACAGCCCTGGGATCCATCAAAATCAATTACTCCTCGGCCCGGGGAATTATTAGATTGAATTAATCTCTTAACAAGATCTGGGACGCGCACGTAAACACACACACACACACACACACACAGCTCATCTGTGTCTACGCCTTTCTCTATGGAAGAGAAATGTTTTTCAACCTTAAGTATTCAGCAGAGAAAACTGGCTTCACATTCTAGCCCCTGCTCCTGACAAGCTTACGAACAATTATGAGAAAAGCGCAGGCGTGGGAGCTGGCGATCATGGGCACTGCCCTGCGGCTCCCAAGGCGACCACGATCCTCGGGGGCGTGGCCCCATCCCCACAGCACACATGCAAGCGGGTGCAGGCCATTGGGCTGAGGCATGGGGCCATCCCTGCACAGAGGCGTGGGGGCCCGGGGGACATGGGGGGACACTGGCCCGCCCCCTGGTCATCCCGGGACTGACGTTGCAGAGGTCCAGGGGGAGGCGGCTTCGGGAGGGAGCCCCAACAGCTGGAATTTGGTGTCTGTGGGCAGACCTTGGAGAGCCCTCGGGGACCCTCACTGATGGGACATCTGTCCTCCCGAGGCCAGGCCTGGGGAGGGCCTAGGCCATGCTGTGAAGGCAGGTCTGGCTGGGTCTCCCCTTCTCCCTGACAGGCTGCCCCTGCCCCCCGGTCCCTGTCCCGGGGTCTGATACATGCCTCCCCAAGATTCTTGCTGCTCCCTCCAAGGACCTTGGGCCCACCCCAGCTCCCAAATTGGGCCCCAGGGCCTTTGCTCCAGCTGCTCCTCAGCCCAGAGCCACCTGTCTCCCCCGGACCTCTCTGGCCCTGGGCTGGGCTCTTGCCGC